GTACCAAATCAAAACTTTGATGGCCCAATGATAGCCACATTACTAAAATTCTGTCATATCAATCCTAAACGAACCCATCTTCTCTCACAAATCCAATATTAACTTCCTCTTCTAACAAAAGCTCAAAAACCAAACCAAGACCCTAACTGTTGCAGATGGTAACTCCAACAGGTCACCTGACGAGCAAGACTGTGAACGAATCTGACATGTTTTGCGTGACCGATCTACACTCGGAGCTATCCGCGATCCAGGGCCTGGTACTCGAAGGTATTTCCACTGCTATACTGATGCTGGTCGCGTGCGCCGTCTGGGACAATAGAAACGCGAGAAACACGGACTCGGTGCCAATCAGATTCGGCCTGACTGTGGCTGCTCTTGCACTCGCGTTCGGACCTTACACAGGTTGCAGTATGAACCCGGCCAGGTCGTTGGCACCGGCACTGTGGAACAATCAGTGGTCCCATCACTGGATCTACTGGTTCGGGCCGATTGGTGGTGCCCTTTTATCGTCGTACATGTACAAGACCATCTTCGGCGTGAGCGAGAGTACGCAGGAGGAGCCGGTTGCCGAGGCTGTCGCTTTGAACAGCGTCGCCACCCAGAAGGCGGAGGTATGCCTGCTTCTATCTTATTATATTTCAGCATAGTGGTTTTTAGCATTTGGTTTCTAGCTTGCATTCCAGTATTTTAGCATTTAGTACATTTAGTATATTTCACTGTCTCCAGTATTTGTATATTTAGTGTTTCCAGTAGCATAGTTTATTTTAGAATTTAGTACATTTAGTATATTTCACTGTATTTGTGTGTATATTTAGTGTTTCCAGTATATAGTATATTTTAGAATTTTGTTAGCATTTAGGATAGTCTAGTATTTTAGCATTTAATACATTTAATATGTTTTAATGTATGTTTTAATATATTTTAGAATTTTATTAGTACTTTTATTAGTGCAGTCTAGTATTTTTTGTGTTTAGTATTTAGTGTAGTCTAGTATGTTAGCATTTAGTGTCTTCAGTATTTATAGCCATCATAGTATATTTTAGAATTTTCTTAGTATATAGTACGGTGTTATATTCATATAATCCAGGTATTCACTGTAGGTGAATTATATCTTTGTGACATAAAGATATAAAGATATATTGTAATATTTATTTCTTGATCTGAGTTCACTTTATTGGAAATTTGATACCTTAGGTTCATCTTGCATTCGTTTTTCAATGTTTGTTTGTTGCTCATTTCATTGAAAATTTCACCTTTCAATTTTCTTTGAAAATTTGATACATTGAATTCATCATTCACATATTTGATATTTCTATGTGATCAGAGGATTTAATATTTCCAGCAGATCACTGATCTCTCCCCAATTATTTTTTAATATCTTTTCCCCCCAATTCTTTTGCGTTCACTTTTTTTAATATTTCTAGATAAGCAGAATTTACTCGACCATCTAGGAAATTCCATCTTTTAATTCTTCGTGGGCCTGATATATTAAATTCATCTGGTACTGTAGAATCTTCCCTTCATCTTGGCTGAAAATTCTCTTTCTAAGTCGTCGTAGACCTGTCAGAGGATTTCTTGGATCCCCTAATATTAGGGGATAGAAGCATTTTTGTGTAGACTAAAATCAAATTGGATCAAAGCTATAACGTCAACGCTTGTACACCACAGAATTCCTAGGATTCATCGTCTCATATCAAAGGATAACAAAATTCTCGTCTGCGCTAAAGTGATAAAGTCAAAGTGATCAATCTTTGTCTTTTTCTTCATTTATTAATCCGCGTTGTGTTATTAAAAATTTATATTTTAACTTTCTTTGCCTGAAATTGAAAGGCGACGAGTTATTAGCAAAATCTGAACTAAATTATAACCAACAATAAGAGCCAATGTTGCTCTGAATTTGTAAAATTTCAAAATTCATTACTTGTTTATTAAAAAACAAAAAAAAAGAATTATTATTATTATTTTAAAAATATTAAAACGACATACACGATTCATTCACATCGAACGTATAAAACAAATACTATAAATATCTCAAGTGTAATACGAAATTGAGTGCGCTTCTTCCAAGTGAATTTCCTTATTGTTTTTTTTGTTTTCTTGTAGTCACAAGATTTCCCAAATTTACGAATAGGTTTCAGTGCAAGTTAATGCCTCTTTTATACGCGGATTTTATAACAGTTGAAACACATGAAAATAGTTTTACAGATACATTCGGAGCTCCGTTCACAAAACATTCTCAAATCTCTCTCTCTCTCTTTCTCCGGCATCTCTGTAACTCTTCAAAGAATCGCGGAGAAAATTCCACGCCGAAGCTGGGAAAGTTTAGTTGACTAAGGTTTTGTCATGTAAACGCGATGCATGCTGTGCATCAAGATTTTTCGCTATGCCGGATTATCTGCGGGTAAGGGCTGGCCGTAAAGGTCGGACGATAAATCGTCGTTGGCGAGGAAGTTTGGTGAAACTGGTTTTACGACGCGGTGGGATTTAACGTTCTCGGTTTACCGTCGATGGGAACCCTAACCATGGATCAGGGGGAAAGCTGTTCTCGCTACGACATATCGTTTAACTTCTTATCCTCGCCGCGTTGTTAGAAGAATATTCTGAATCAGTTTTAAGTCACTTTGCTAAAAGATGGCCCGGTTGGATCCCTCGTGGGTTCTCGGATGCAAATACTCCGACATTTGTTATCGTTACGATGCGTGTATTTGGCTCGCGAAATTGTTTCGATATTTATCGTGCAAGAATCTTCGTACAAAGACACACAGGGTGTCGAAATAAGTCGATAGGAAAGGATAAGATTTTTTTCTCGCGAGACGTTTCGTTCTCGAGAAAATTAACTTTGAGAAATTTATCGAATAAACGGGTTAATTTTTAATTTAATTTTTCAAATTGCCGTGATATTCCAGCGAGACATTTATTTTAAAGTTAAATCTTTTCCTTCTCCTTTTTCCTGTTACTTTTTATAATTCCGAGCGTTTGATCTTAATCAGTATCTAAACACAGAAAGAACATTTCCCTAAAATATTGTTTAAAGTACGTATCAGAGATTTACATTATCTTCAGTCAACTTTAGAAATCCAAATACATATGTATACCTAACCTAATCTCACGTTCAAATATATTCAAAGCGGCGGAAATCTTATCCATCTTAATCGTTCCTCCGTCTGTACAGTCAAATAAACTGCCGCGAGTAATCAAAGAATTATTGACTCTTGTCGCTGAATCGGTAAGGCCAACAGTCTGTGTTATCGACGATCCCGATACGAAATTCATGTTCTCTTTGTTTTTGTATTTTAGCCATGATACGAGATCGTAGAGGGCAAAATCGGAAATGTCCAGGGTACGAGTCGATCGGCAATATCATCAAGAAACCACGAGATATTAAATGGAGGATGTGTACCGATCGAATGAATTCTGCGCCGTTATCTTGCATCTTCTGTACCTCAGCTTTTCTCGATCGCATCGCGCTCGAACGATCCACGAAATCGCAAGACTGTATACTTCAGAGAAATCGTCGCCCGTGAAGAAATCACGCACGATATCATTCACGGCATTGTCATTTTATTGAAGAAAACATTTTATTACGTACAGGTTATGTGTAACCTCGGCCATTTTTGTGTTTGAACGATTCAACGTGTACAACATGGCGGCTGTCGGATAAACAATCAGTGCTGGAAACCACGTTGATTTTATTCCTTTTGTTTCGAATACTCTGTTAATACGTTTCTGCAGCATTGGGCACTGCGTTGCCTGTTGCGATTTAATGATTCGTTGTTTGTCGTTGTACATAATTGTTATATTTTTTATAGATGTGTTTACCCGTCGACGATGGAAAAATATAATCGGATGGAAATCAATGTTCCATGCTTGTTGTTGATTGCTTGAACCTTCTCTTAGTAACTTTTGATCGAGGAGAATTCGTTTTTTGCTCTCTCTTTTTTTTTAAGGAAACTTTTTAGCGAAAATGCGAACACGGAAATTTTCGGACTGCAAATATAGAAGTCTGCGGGGCAATTTTGAAATGGAGGTGGAACGTAAATGAAAGAATTTTTAGATTATTGAAAAAAGATTCCTGGGGTGTTTTAGAATAACAGTATAAAAGTTTCTAGGAAAAATATTGAAACGAAAGGATGAAAATTAAACGAAAAAAAAAAAAAAGACAGATTATTAAAAAAGAATTACCACAAGTTATATTTTATATTTTAGAATAAAAATGTAAAATTTTCTAGCAAACTCTGAAACGGTAGTATAAAACTTAAAAAGAATTCTCCGACTATTAAAAACAAATTCCCGAGAAAATTTGAAACAAAAACACAGAGGCTTTCAATAAATTTTTGACATAGATAAAGGAAGAGTTAAAAACTGTTTTGCAACGATGCATTAATAGTAGTCTATCATCAGGCGTCGGGCATAGTACGGAAATAAATAAAAGTCTAACTTATGTAATTGAATCTCGGTAATGTAATAAGCTATCTAATTATAATGTATTCCGAGATCGGGGCATAAACTTTGAGAACACGGCGCGAGAAGTTATTTCCAGAGATAGTTCTCCGACTATCGAGCGGAAAAAAATGAATTTCACTCTGTTTCTCATTACGAGTTCGAAGCTCCATTTAAAAAGCAAAAAGGAAACACACAAAGCACGCCGATAGAATCGATTCGTCGATGCTGATGAATGCTCGACAAAAGCCGGCAACGTTTAAAACAAACGTGAAAAATCACGAGTTACAATTTGAAACGCGATAGCCAATCAGTTGCCAATTAATTTTTTTTCATAAAACCGATTATCATTAAACAGAAGTGCTTATTTAAAAAAATCGAGCAACAATTAATTTTAACTTCATAGTAATTGAAAATGAAAATGATATTTAATAATAATAAGCTATGGAATAAAAAATGAGAGATAATGAATTATGTTTAACTGAAGTTAAGTTCAAAGAAAATGAAAGAATTGGAAAAATCATTAAATCTTAATTACAATTTTAATTATCATAATCTTATTCCTTCATTCTTCATTGCATAAAAAAAAATCGCGAATTTAAAAATCGATAATCAATAAAAAATCAAATTTCATTAGAAATAGCATATCGCTGAATCTAAATTCATTCAGATTATACTTAATAAAAATCCTTGCAGTTCAGGACAATAGTTGATTCAAGAGAATTTTAATTTATGAAATTAATTTTTAATTTCGTTCGTAATTTAACAATAACCGCGAATTATAAATTGAAAAATTGAAAGAACAAGAACCGGATTGAAATCCATCCCGTTTCTAATTAATTTCTCTAGAAAATCAAAATTAGTTCCGACGGGTAATTAATCCTAACCTGGGAATTTATAACTCCTCATAACTTAGAGCCGCCAGAATTTGTTCGACAGAATTTTCAAATCTTCATTTATAAACATTCGTCGTTCGTTCTACCCAATCATTCCTAATTAATTCGCGTAGAAGAGCAAAATCAATTGATTAATTGACTCCAACCCCATAATTCGGGGGCTGCCATTCACTCTCGAGGGAATTTTACGAACCGTCATTTGCAAACAGCCGTCGTTTATTATTCAATTAGCATAGAATAACGATCCTCGTGGATAGTCAGATGAAGAGCTGGTCTTTTGGCGGGGATGGTTTCCCTTGGGCGCAGTAGCCCCGTTACAACAGGGCCAGAAAATCAGACGAAGAAAAGGAAACAAATGCGTGTTTCGCCGGAAGAAAATGAAGGAACCACGTCAGGCTGTTGGCGAGCAGGTTTTCGTATGATTTACATGGCAAGCGTCGACTCAATAATTCAATTTTCAATCTGTTCCCTAATACTCCTCGCCTCCATTTCTTACGGATTTGGATATTGTTCGAAAATGAATTGAATAATACACTTTTTTTTTTTTTTGTAGAGAAATGAGAAACTCGCATCTTTTCACTGGAATTTCAAAGGGGAAGCCAACCCTTCACGCTATTCAGACGAAATCTTAGAAAGGACAAGGACTTTCGTAATATTTTGTAGCTCTGTTTGACAGACTGATGTATTTCGCGATTCTTTTTACTATCATGACCCTTCGTAATTCATAATTCTTCGGATGAACTCCGCTGCACAGAATACACGTGCAACAGTTCACTTCAATTTTTCATCGGTGCAATAATTAACGCGACTGTTATTAATATCGGATAATTAAACTGTTCATCACCAGCGCGTGTGCAAATGGAGAGTTTTTTTTTTTTTTTTTTGTTTCCAAATTGGCGCACGTAGATTATTGGATTTTTACACAGTGGGACGAGCCGGTTTAAATTTAGATTGTTAGACATTGATTTATAATATGAATGTACCAGAGTAATTCGCAGGAGAGTTATAGTGGCCATAAAGATAGATAAAAGCGGGCCGTGTTTTGTTTGCGAGTTACGAGGAAACGTTTGCGCCTTCCATTAATATCCACCGTTTGCCTAACGTTATCAGTCTTGATTGTGTCATCTTAATGCATGCACGATCCCGTAATTCCGTTACCTACTGTGTCAATTTGCCATTCCGTCATGGAAACGATAGACAACCATGTCGTACACAAACACTGACACTATACCACTCCCTCTGAATTCATCTGAAACTTTCATTTCGAGACTTGCGTATGTACACTGGCTCCACAAGAAACCAATGACGCACTTGGAACACTTTTTGTGAAAATAAAACCACACATGAACAAAATACCCATAAATAGTCTACTACGTACAAGAGTAACAACACAGTAGCAATTTCCAGTAATAAGTTATATAAAAATAATTCAAGTATTTGTGGATTTTTTTGCAGTTCTCATCACGTATTTGAGAACAGAATATGAAATAGAATTTTGATTTGGTTTAAGAGGATAAAGTAAAGTTCTGACGTAAATTCTTAAGAATGATAAATCGCAAATCACCAGAAATTCAAGTCTCCGTATAATAGGCAAATAAATATAAAAATTGTTAAAATAATAAGTCGCAGACTAGCCGAAAGGTTCAAAAATATCAGTCCTGGAAAAGTTCGAATCACTGAGAGTGACTCGCTTTGGTTTTCAAGAGGAGGAGAGGGGGTGGGGCGAACGTGAGCAAAATTAATGACGAATCTTGATCTAATTGGCCGCGCCGTTCGTACAAAAGGTAAATGGGAAACAGGGACAAAGGGAAAATGCGAGTGGGACGTGTTCGAACGTCCGTAATCGGGAAGGCTTATGAGCGCGTGTAATTGCCCATTGTCGAGGCGATCTGGCATTTTCCAGGAAAAAATATTCGAGAACGGGCCCGCTTAGAAAGCGTAACGAACCTATTCGGTATCGATACGGCGCGCGCCGAGCCAATTATACGGAAAATCGCGCGGCTCTGCTCCAATTTTTCTCGGCGCCAGTGTGCCTTTCATACGCCAGTGAAAAATTCTCCCCCCCCCCTCCCCCTCTCTTCAAATTTATCCAACATCTCCATTCTCTGTTTCTGTACGTACATGCTGTGACGTTCAATCTCCCAACATGCGATTCTGTTTTTTTTTTTTTTTTTTTTTTTTTTTTTTAATAACAAAGATTATTAAATTTCTCGCAATAGAAATGCACGTGCAGTTGCCGATAAAAGTATCCAAACGGTTATGGGGACTTTCTAATGTATGATATACGAAACGCGTGTGTTATACAAAATGTTTCGAAATTTCATTAGATCGAGGATGGCCTCGTCGTAGCTCTGACAAAATTTTCAAAATGATTGTAATTTTAATAAAATATACAGGTGTGAGATACGTCGTAGCTTTAAAGACGAATCTATAAAGACGAATATTTAGAAACAATTGCAAGTGAAAAAATGAAGCAAAATAAAATTTCAATAGCGATGAAAAAACATGATCGTCAGCGCTGTAAATATTTAAATTAAATATTAATTGTACGCTTGAAATTATCTGATAGAAACTTTTTAATACGCGCTTGGAAATTCGGTTGAAATGCATTTCGTTTGATGCGAGCCCCCCACGTGAACACTTGACTTATATTTTGCATTTAAATTTTATTAAATTCCATATTATTTAAACGCGCAAACACGCGCACGCGTACGAATCTACTTGAATTTCGTTTTGAGTTTGACAGATTATTCTTTGTGTTCAATTACTTTTACAAAACAACATAGTCAACAAGTAGATCCATTCAATTATTTGCAGTTAATTTAAACTGAAAATTATCTATGCAACGAATATTCTCGCGATGTTTGCGGATCTATATTGGTATGAAAGATGATCATTGGAAACACTTGGCAGATAACCACAAGCAAGGTAAACGAACTTAAACGAGGTTGTAATTCTTGACCAAGGTTGAGCATGTGATCTGTTTGCATCAACCGTTCTATATCTAGTGCGAGATAGAAGCTGCGGTATCACGGATGATTTTTTTCTCAAGATTAATTTCCTTCCAAGATCGTCATTTTTGTTCTATGTGAAAATTCAAAGACGGCATTTAAAAGAAGTAATTGCGACATCAATAGTTGAAGCTTGAGTTTCTTATTGATAGTTTAAAAAAACTATTTGAAAGGAATAATCATGACATCAATAATTCAAGATTAATTTTATCTTTAGAATTCTAAAGACTATATTTGAAAAGAATAATTATGAATTATGCTAAATTGAATGTTTTATTTCAACTACTGTCACGTCGAAATTATTCCAATTATTTTAAAAAATAATTCTTATTTTCTGAAAGCAGTCAATACTTTAAAATTTCGCTAACAATCAAATTTTATAACGCGTAAATTTAAATCTTGCAACGTACGAAACGAAAATTTTGACAAAATGGCCGCCAATATATCAGCCATGCCATCGAAGCTATACACACGTCGTAATTTATATTTATCAAAATTTGTGCGCTTTTAAAATGCGCCAGAGTATCATTTTAAATATACAACATTGCTGTAGGATCCATGTATAATAAAATTTCCAACGTCAAATCCTTGAAAAAAAAATCATCCATCAATTTTGTTAATACGAGCAAGATATCGATCAAGCGTGTGAATTAGCAATCATCTAACGTGCAAATTAATAAAAAGATCACGAACCTTGTAACTTTCTTCGATTCACGATTCAACGACAGTTAACAGCAGTCCAAACGAAAGTAATTTGTTGTACCTTCGACATTCAACGGTTGAATGGTAGATGACGTGCCTCGACGTGTAAACGAATTCTGCCACAATGGACACGGCGAGCATTATCGTTCCTGCACACAATACCTGTTGTTACAACTTGCAACGTATCGAACACTTTAATCTGTGATATCATTTATCAAAAATCAAATTCAAATCGTGTCACGCGTGAGTTCGCTGGTTCGCGGGAGAAACGGCCACTCGGGAAACTACCCGTTCGATAATCGAAAGATGCGACGCGAGCGCCGAGATATATCGAATCTCGCAGGCAGAATAGTGCCGTATTAACTGACCGCCGCTACCCTCTCCCATTATTCGCGCGATTAAATTAATATTATTAAATTTTAGAAGCTACGTCGACAAACGACAGTAACAAATTCTTTCGCATGATACGTTTAATAAATAGAACAAACTGGAACTGTAATAAATTTTATACATTACAAATCAACTGATTGCCCGTAAAAGTAGCGAAATTACAAAACAGGAGTTTATACTTCTTAACCTATGAATTATGACCGATCGATTTATTTTTATTTATTAGTTATGAATTATTTTGTAAGAATAGTCTCATTCGTACTTGACGAAAAAGAATATCTTTTGAAAATATACTTCCTTTAGTAAGTTACTAGACGAATATTGTTACATTTATATTTTTGTCAGAATTATATCAATATTTGTAACATATCATAATAATATTTTCTATATTAATCCCAACACAGAGAGATACATGTTGTGTTTTATGTTTCATTGTACGAAATGTGTTTTTAATTTGAATTTCTAGTTGGAACTTTGTTACTAGAGCCGTTTGAATTTGAACTTTGTAAACTTTACAACTATACTATACGCGTAGATCGTATTGAGAATATTTGGTAAGAAAAGAATTATGGGGTGAGTGAACCGTACCTTTTAGGAATTCTTCGCGTCGAATTTCACCGTGGTCCTTTCAGAGTTCTACCTACCGCAGTTACGAGCCGCGTCACTTGCCCCTTCGAACATGGAAAAAGTTTGCACTGCGGTTACGCTTTGTTCACTGCGCAAACTCGACCGGTCGTTTGACTCGGTGGTCGATCTCCCCAAGTCCCGCCCGACCCCTTGCCGCCAAGCACATCATCGGTAGGTTAACCTGACCGTGAACAGACGCGACGCTATTAAACGTCCAAGAAAGAAATATTTGCCGGAATTTCACGCAATCAACCCGCTATAAACTCCACATATGACTTTAACATGCTATCGAATGACGTCGTTCTTACGATTTCATTGGTTGTAAAGGAACACTTGTCTCTTTCTAGAAGGGATCGTTCGAATGTATGAATAGCTTTATATTTTTAGAAGATAATAATGAGAGGTAAAATAATATTTCTCGTTTATTATTAATTAAATTCAATGTTTTTCATTTTTCGTTTAATATTTTTCATTTAACTAAAAAAGAAAAAAGAACGTGATTGGTTTTCAAAGGAAAATTTGATTGGTTCTCAAGTGATTGGCAAAGAGCCAGTGGCCAATAGAATTCAATCACTTGTTCCTTGTTTTGGCGCTAATTGATGGCTGAACTTCCGGTTTGTAGATTCGAATTATTTTGCATATGGCGTTGGAAGTGTGAAGTGAAGTCGTGTGTGAAGAAAAAAAGTGTTTGTTATGTGCAACGTATTCCGTTCTCTTCGAATGTGTTGTTATTATTAACAAGAAAATGCTGTGTGAAAGTATAATGAATTGTGTGTTTGAATATGCAACGACGTTTTGCAATATTGTGGATATTATAATAACCTGTACACTTGTGCAATCTATGGAATGGGAAACTGTGATCAAGGAATCGAAGGTATGTACGTATATTGAGCTTTGACAGTTATTGTTCTAATGAAAATCGCTCGAAACACAGAAAAGTTGCAAATTAAAACATTAGATTGTTGATAATTTTGAATGTACAGTCGAATTGTACAATGTCAGAAGTTTATAAATTTTAATAATTATTCGAATTTAATTTCACTTAACGTCTAAATGTCGTAATGACTCGAAAGATCCGACATTTTCCAATTACATTTTCCTAAACACAACGATCTTTCATAACATAATTTAACATTTTAGAAAATTATAATATCCTATTTGAAGTTTGTAATTCGTCAAAACTCACGTAAATTAGTCGAACGTGAAATCAATGATTCGAAAGATGCGAAATTTTCCAATTACAATTACCAAGTACAATAATAGTCTTTAATAATTTCGTGAAATTATTTAATAGTTTCGTGAAATTAGTATCTCACGTAAAGTTCTTACATTCTGTTTTATCTGAGATGATTAATTAAATCTTTGAA